TGCATTTCTAAACAGTGTAATACATGAATGGAAAAACAAGATAAAAAAAAATTTATATTCCAACTATTTTCACATAAATGCTAAATCTTTCCAAGGACTACACAGATTTATGGGATAATAAATTATTTTCCTGTATCACTTCCATCACTTAACTTTTATTTCCTTAGTCATGTTCGCACTTTCCTCAATTATTTTTGTAATACAGCTCAGCTCAGTCACTCAAAGCTCTTAGAAATCACGCCCACCTTGTTTAGTCTCTATCCTGCATAAGGAACAGGAATTCAACTGAAGAAGCAGCCTCAAAAATTTTATTTCAATCTTCAGAACCATGCATATCAGCCCTAAATACAACCAATACAAGTCCATCTGGCATGTTAATTGTTCCTTACCTCTTATCTATGATTGCAAACCAGCTGCAAGACCATAACATTTGGAAATATGTTTCATCTCCAGTGGGGTTAAAAGCAATGCTTAGGTTTCTGTATGCAGTATAGAATGCAGGACAAGATTGCTCCTGGCTAATTAAAGCTAAGGACTGGGACATTAGGATGCTGAGGAGCTCTCCACATCCTACACTGTAGAAGACCCCTAAGCTAATTTCAGGAAGTCGTGCGAACAAGTCAGCAGAACTCTTCTGCTTCTGGGAGAAATGCATACACTGGGTTTTTCCATGAAGATACAGGAGCTCACTCAGTGCCAGCTCAGCACTCTCTAACCAGCCCTTTAGCTCTTTCCTTTGCACTAATGTGAAGATAGGCTGAGAGAGCTGGAGCTGCTCAGCCTGGAGATGAGAAAGCTCTGGGGAGACATTCTAGGAGCCTTCCAGTCAGTACCCAAAGGTTCCTACAACAAAGCTGGAGAGGGACTTTTTACAAGGGTGTGTAGTGATGTACGAGGGTGAATGGCTTTTAACTGGAAGATGTAAGGTTATATTAGATTAGATGTGAGGAAGAAATTCTTTACCAGGAGAGCAGTGAGTCATAGGAATAGGTTACCCAGAGAAGCTGTGAATACCCCATCTCTGGAATTCTTCAAGGACTCAAGGACAAGATGGACAGGGTTTGGACCAACCTGTGGAAGGTGTCCCTGTTCATGGCAGGGGGTTGTAACTAGATGATCTTTAAGGTCCCTTCCAGCCCTAGAAATTCTACAATTTTATATGTAGCAGAAGTAGTGTTGTGGCACAGCGGTGGTTTCATACATCCCTTAATCAGTCTGGCAGCCACAACCTGGCTTCTTCTGAAAACTTTCCAGGACAATAAATAAAAGAGTTTTTGCTTACAATCCCTGCTGCTGTACTTTGAAAGGAGTATCTGGAACTTCCAGCAGTAGATGGCCCTTCCACATCTTCAGAGTTACTTTGCAGACCTTTGATCTTTCTGAAGTTGCTTCAAAAAGCCAGCTGAGTCTGAATCAGAAAAAAATTTAAGACTCGTGAAGAAGTTTAAGCCCTCCTAATAACCCAATCTTATGACATTGACAATCCTCCTGTTGTTTTTATATTCAATAACAAGGTAGAAATCTTTTGCAATCCAACTTCATTATTGCCTCCAAGGCTTTTCTAGCTAGGAGTATCATAACCATTTTCCAAGTGCTGCAAAGGACCTTAATTAGAAGTGTGTGGAGCTACTCTTCTCTCCCATGGCTGCAATTTGTGTTCTTGAGTGCTGGTGTAACTGGTATTGTTCCACAAAACCATTGCTGACTTTTCTCAAAGACTTCTGCATCCCACTGGATTAGTTCTCTATTCCAGAGAGGAAACATTGAGCTGTTTTTGAAGATAGTCATCTTCAAGTCAGTGAAAACAGCCTAAAATATGCATACCTGCAGCACCTGTTTACCTCCCTTGCTTGCCAAATAAACAAGTGGTGGAAGACTTCTGGAGGGTTTGCAGGAATAGCTTAGTACAATGGCAAGGCAGTAACAGGGATTGGCAACTGTTGACTTGCTCTTCTGATTTGACTGTCCTTCCACATTGTTGTCTCAGCACAAAGGTCATGGAATCACAAATTTAAATGTACTTAATTATTATTTTTTACAGAGAGTAATTAAGTGTTCCATTCTGACTCATCATAAGGCCTTCAGACCAAGGTATGTACATCTGTATCACTCAAAGCATTTGGCTGTTGCATAAAAAGCTTTGCAGTGTGAACTGTGTATACTTTCCAGCTTTCCCAGTCTCCCATCAGCATGGGTTAAAAGGTAAACTTGAGGTGGATAGTGCTCCCCTCAGAGCTGCTGAAGGACACAAATTCATCCAGTCGAGCAAAAGTAGATCATTTACATAAACTGTCTACTCTCTTTCAGGACTGAGGGTCCAGAAATTCCTACAGATGTTTATCACTTTGGGACAGTGCAAAGGGAAATTCCTTTTGTCTAACTTTGTGCGTATTACCAGTTGTCCACCCTGAAGGGAGAGAAGTGGTCACCTCCACAGCTGGGCTTACCCACAGGTTTCATGATTTGCTTTGACAACATTGACAACAAAGGGCAACCACTGATTTATTTTTATATGTCTGCCATTATATGAAGTGAAAATAGCTCATGAGTGACTTGCATTTCCTTTGCCACAACTACCACATTGCCAGCCTTCGTTGAACACACCTCAAATGTCTTTTCCTTGTGATCATCCCAGTCTTCTGCACCTCCTTGTTCCATGGAACATCCTTTTAGGTTCCATGTTCCTCAGAACATGTCCTGAGCTGTGGAGAAAGCTGACAATATACATGCTGTGTCAGCTGGTAGGTTTCCCCACACTGCTTCTACTACACGGGCAATATCACTTAAGAGCAGGAACGATGTTTACCTTGAAAAGGGTGGCCACATGCAATCTACTTTTACTAATGGTGGACCAAAGGAAAGGGCATATCTGAGATCCTGAGCAAGGATTAATGTCTGATCTGTATCTTTTTCCATTTTTTTACAAACTGAACATTACATTTCACAAGGGAAAAATCAGGATGCACTGATCAGAGAACTGTTAACACCAGAGACTTATTAATAGTAACTACAGTACAAAAGCAGCTGTTTCCAGCTTTTATACAGCATTACATTTGCTTGATGCAGATAAAGAGAAATTACTCATGAGGCAATGGAAAGAAAGGTGTAGGAGGGTGAATCATGTTGGAAGAATAGGAAAAAATGAAAGTGGGGGCAAAATTTTTTAAGCATGCTGTGTCATCCCCAGTAAAAGGTAATTTGCTATATCAGTGGAATGCTATTAACTCCTGCTTAGTTGGGCATAATGCATGGTGGAGGAGGGAATATTTCAGTCAAATTGAATGACAGTAATTTTGGGGGAAAGAGAATGACTCTCTTTACTTTTTTTTTTTCTAGAAGGAAACTCATTGGCATCTTCACATCTAATTCTGATTTGCAGGCAATTAGTGCACAGTTGCACAACTGGAGCCAAACTCTTGCTATTAGCAGGGCACGGCCCAATTGGCTGAGATTGAAAATAAGTGAACACAAAAAGACTGCAGGTTTTCTTGAGAACAGGATGACAAACATGTAGTGAAAACATGGTTTATCAGTTGAAATTACAGTTGATTTGAGGTATTTTTATTTTTTTTCCAGTGACCACTCTCATATTATTGAGATTACTCTTTGAAACAGAACTAAGGAATGCTCTGGAAAAATCTACTTCAGGGATTACAGGCTATGTCAAATTAGAACTAACCAATCTATTATAATCTGCATATTACACAAGATTGACTGTCATATTGGATTTTTATGCAAGTTTATAACAAGAAATACTGCATGTGTCACTGCTTTTTTTCAGGATGACATCTTCCATTTATTCTGCCTAGGGAGACCTTTTATTCCATAAGGAGAGATTGGAAAACAAAGATATTCATGTCAAAGTCAGACAAAAAAACTCATTTAATATTGTGCCACAGAAGTCAAAATTAAGGGCTTAACCCAGACATAAAAAGTGACATGACTTACAGGCATATTCTAGTTTTCATGTTCAGTTTGTTTCCCCTTTTTGCTGACAATATCTCTGCCACTTCCCGGTGTCCAAAGAGCTGTTCCCAGCAGAGAGGGCAATGATCTGGGCTCTCAGGCATCCTAAATATTAACTCCTCTACCATTCCTTACTGAAACCTTTCCTAGCAGCCAGTCTGAGTTGATATACAAAATGAGGTGTCATGTTTCAAATTTTATAATCATCCCATGAAACCTTTCATTATTTCTTTTCCATTTGTGGGGCACAAAACAGTCATGTGGTGTATCTAAGAGGAAATAAAACTAAATTGTCCTGTTTTCTCAACGTTAAGCAGCTTTGGGGTACATAACCCATGCCTATGTTGCAATTCAGGTGTGTAAAACAGGCAGGGCACCCCAGGCCCATTTCTCTTTGCTCTTGGATCTCCAAGAGCAGTGCTGAGGGAAGCCCCAGCCTGGGTGCTTCCATCACAAGGCTAGGACCATGTTCCCATGTCTTTTTTCCCCTCCTGAAATACTGCTCAGTGCAGTAATTCCACAGCAGATCACCATTTCACTGCAGCAATCTGAAGGACATCCAAATCCTTTGCATAAATATTGTGAGGGGTTTAATGGGGAAAATATTACTCACAAACCCTTTATGCTCTCCAGCTGGTAACTTGTGCCCTTCATTCCCTGCACTTACACTACAGAGGTCAGTATGACCAGGTAAATCCAACTCCCTGACCTGCTGCTGAGTGATCTATTTCTCTGAGTTTTTTTCTGCTCTTACTCTGCTCCTACTGCCTCTAGGGCTGTCTCAAAGTGCCACATCCCAGGGTGTGCTCTGGGACACAGACTTTGCTCTGTCACAGGAACACATGCTGCCCTTGAGGAAGTTGTTCTCAATTTAGGCTCAAGATTGTGCCACAAACTGCCCCTTGAATGCACCACACATCTCACTGTACTTGTCCACGCCTTCTGATGGGTCTGGAGAGATTTGCTGAGGTGTTAATAGAAAATATGTAGTATTTCATGCAGGATAACACTGCAGTTATTTTATGCACAAATACCTTTGCAATGACAAGAAGGTTTCAGTGAGGAGAAAGGTGTAGGCAGTACTGGAAGGAGTGGATCTGATCAACTTCTCATTTCTCCCTGCTGCAGTGAATATCACACTTGAGAGTGAGACCAAAAGACTCCAGCTAGAAGGGATCTAAAGAGGAGGGGCAGGAAATGATTAATTATTTTAGTTAAAAGAAACAATATTACTTGGCCACAAGCCCCCAGGTAACAAAGAATTAATTTTTCTTAGCTAATGAGAAATCACACCTCTACAACATCTGAACAAGAATGCAGTCCACTGAAAGTAATTCTTCAAGAAAGGATGTCTGAAAAGACTATGAAATGCACAAAACATTTGCACGCCACTGCAAAAGGGCAGTTTTGCTGAGAAATCATTTGAACTGGATTTAGAGTAGTCCAAGCTCATCCCAGCAATAGTCATGGAAGGTGCTCTATGTAGCTCTTTCAGTGGCAAGACAGGGCTTTATTATGGCTTTATTTTTTTGTTGTTGTTGTTTGTTTGTTTTGCTTTGTTTTTCATAACTAGTGTTTGTTTTGCTTTGTTTTTCATAACTAGCTATTATTCCAAGATCTAGCTATAGCTACATTTACTAAAGAGCTATATTTATGTCCAGTAGGATGAGAGGATCCAAATTGATATTATTTTTGAAATACTTCAAGAAGAACTTCACTACATAAAGGCAGTGTAACCAGTTTCCCACCTGCATCAGAAAGTGGTGCAAGAATAAGGTCCAAATGAAACAAGCAAATTAGGACCCCTTTTCCCAAACAATTGCCCTTTTCTTGAAGAATTGATGATACCTTGAAACTGTGAGAGAAAATTCTGACAGTGATAAACTTCAAATTTTAAGGCTCCAGAAAAAGAAGAAGAAATAAAAAAGGAAGAAATTAGGAAAAAGAAAATGTAAATGCTTTTAACAACCTTGTGGGTTTTTAGGAGAACTCTGTTCTTTGCAAAATGGTAGAGGGCAGACTGGGGAACTTGTGCATGCATGCCTGTATCCACTGCATGCCCACCAAAGCTGCTCTATTATCACTCCTCTCCTCAGCTGGCCAGGGGAGAAAAAATATAACAGAATGCTCATGGGTTGAGATAAAGGCAAGGAGAGATCAGTCACCAGTTACCATTGTGGCTTGCCTTGGGGAAAATAGTTTAATTTCTTACAAATCAAATCAGAGTGGGATAATGAGAAATAAGAAGAAAACTAAAAACACATGTTCCACTCACCCCTCCCTTCTTGGGTTCTGCTTCACTGGTGATTTCTCTGCCTCATCTCCCACAGTGGCACAGGGGGATGGGGAATGGTGGCTGCAGTCAGTTCATCACACACTGTCGTCTTTGCTGCTCCTTCCTCTTCACAGGCAGGACCCCTCACACTCTTTTATCCCTCCAGAATGGTCTCTGCAGTTTTGGGAGTGGATATTTCATATTCCTTTTCAGGATATTACAGTGACAGGAACACGTCATGGCACCCTGTTTATTTTTTCCTGTATTCAGATCACAGATCACTGACACATTCAGAGATGGCAGGTCAGAATTCATGCAGATAAGGGCTCACATTTAAATTCCCTTATGTAAACATTAATTTTAGTAAGAACTGTCAAAAAAATCTTCCCAAACATTGAGAGCAAATGAGAAAGTTTCACAATTTACTAGATACTTCAGTTGTAATTTGCTTTGAGACTTTATTTTTTAAGAAATGTTCCTACTATAAAATTATCTGTGTATTTTGAACAGAATTAAAATTCTTTTTTATATGTTTTACATCATATCATTGCACATCTTCACTAGAGGTCTCTTTTTGAGATACATCCTGTTAATACCTGGATTTTTACTGGATATTTCTCACCTATAAATTCCGGAGAAACTCCAGTATTCCTAAATCCTTTTTTTCCCAATGGATTTTCCGAAAACAACAAAACATGCTACTTTATGCCTCAAGGATAATCAAGAGCTTCTCCAGACAGGCAGATGACCTCTGTAGCTAGCAAATTTAAGCCAAGTATTTCCCCTTTTAGTCTCTCTAGTTCCATCTTCTATGTTTTCTTTATATTTTAGCAGTTAGATTTGGATGTCAGTGACCCACATCACCTCACACTGGATCTTTAACATTCAGTAGTTTTTATTTCCAGTGTTATTTCTTCTCCCTTTCCTCCTCCTCCACAATATGTCCCTAGTTTTCCTTCTGCTCTACTCCCAGCACCTCTGTCTTTGCCTGGCTCCTCTCAGTGTAGGGCATTCAACTGCATTAACACACAATCTTCTTTTTCTTCTGCATCATTACTGAAGAAACTACTTGACAACTGTAATTAGAAAGATCCCTAGTTTACCACCTCACTCTGCCAAAAATATTACCCTTAGTGCTAACCTTATATGTTCTTAATTTCATTTTCAGTCCCAGGAGAGCTTGTATTCAGGCTCATCTGAATTCTTTCTGAGTGTGAGTTTTTCAACCACTGCAGTTCCTGCTCACTACTTAAGGAAATGATGTGTTCTAATCCAAAAGCATAATAAACTAGATCAACTGCTTTGCTTTCAATGACTGTCTTAGCTATTCTATGAAAAAAAATCTGGGAAGATTTATTCTTTATCAACATAGTAATTTCTTTTCCTCATGCTTCTGAGGACCAAATCTCTTTCACCAGTAGGCTGGTTATCTATCTCTCTGCTAAGCTGGAAAACCTCCATAAAAGTAAATAACATTATGCCATCTTCACACTAGGCATTTTATCAGAGTTTGTTTCTCTTCTTTAGAGGCAAGGAGTTCTGGATACCGATCTTAACTAAAATTTTCAAAAAGATCATATAGACCATATAGACTTTTTCTTGTTTTGGAGCTATCTGCTCATTTTGAGACTCGGTGGATCTCATTTTAAAGCATACAGACACCTTTGTTTGTTAGACACCCAGAAGTACTAGCAGATTTAAAACCACTAACATTTCTCCATTTCCATGTCCATGGCATGCAAATACAGCTTATCTATCTTGCAGGCATATTATGAGGAAAAATATGTCACTGTAACTTAAGATCTCAGATACTGTGAGCAAATAAGGAAAACAGGAAATAATGAAGCAAATACAGGTAAATAGCTCCATAGACATGAACTAATTTTTTCTTCCTTCTCCTTACATTATTGAAAAGTTCTACACTTCAGCTGTGGTTACATTACTTGTGCTAACACATAAAATAGCATTTTTTATCCTTGTGTACTTTGTCCTTCACAGATTCAGGATGAGTTGTTGTCCCAGGGGAAATCACTGAAATGAGGAACATGAGAAAGATCAGGTTTCTGCAATACAAACCTGACTCAAAACATTATCTACACTTTGGTGCCATGTAGGTCATGTAGGAGGGCAAAATGTACCCAGTAATAGTTGTGATTGTTAGTTTATATTAAATGGGATCAGAAGTTGAAACCATATCTGGTACTTTTTCTTCCATTTTAACCAGCCATCATGGTCTTCTAAATCCTCCTCCTCAAAATTTTGAATGACTCTTAGACTTCAAAACTACAAAGAAGTCTTCCAAACTCAAATCAAATAAAATGCAGAGTGTCCCCTGTGTAAAGAGATTCCTCCATGAAGAATAAATCTAATGAATCACACAGATCTCTGCTTAATGATGCTTACAGCCTCTTTATTTCCTTTTCTTCTGTAGAAAAACTCCCCATCCATCTCCTAGGAACTGAAGGGCTAAAAGCTGGTGCGAGCTGTGGTTGCTTGCAAGGGTTGGGAGTGCTGCTGCTGGAGCAGCAGCTCCATGAGCAAGTGTGATAATCAGAGCAGCTGACAGCTCCATAGGGTTAATTTGAATTCATTTCCCCAAGTCACAGTTTTGAGAAGACTTTAAAGAGTATCTTTGACAACATTTTCAAGGTGATATCTATGCCCTCTGCCAGACTGGTGAATAGCTCTGAATGTGTCAAGGTCATTAAAAGGTGATATGACAGGCAAAGATCCTAATATGCAAGTACATAATTCACTGCCTTGGCATATCAGGCTAAAAATCTCAAATTTCCCAGAATAAAATGTCACCAAGGAGAAAACAGTGAGGTACATATGCAATCTGCTTTGCAGGAAGAGAACAGAAACTTGACATGTTTTTCTACCAAAGAGAAAATGAAGTGATAATTCAGGTGTGATTGTTTCACACCTCCTTGAGGAGTGGCTGAAAAGGATTTTCTGTGTAATAGATAAATGCCATAAAAAAAAGCACAAAGATTGTAGACTGGATCGAGGTCTATAAGACTGGAAAGAAAATGCAAATTTTAAAAAGTGAGAAGCAACTTAAAACCAGCAACTGACGCTACAGTCAGAATAGAGGAGGTGCTAAGAAGGTGAAGTCCCTATATAAGCTTTGAAACAGTAATATGTAGTGTTACAAAGATACTTTTCTGGTAGCAGTATTGCCAAGTGACCCTGCCCCAGGGCTGCCTCCCACCAGCATCTTCACATGCGCCCCAAAAATCTTCTGGCCTGGACCTTCAACCAGACAATTCTGAGCTCACTGCCTTGTCAGCTTGAAAATGTTTTAGCTGTTGGAGCTGAGGCCAATGACATCAATGCAAGACCTGACACTGTTTAACATTTTCATCAATGAACTAGGAGTAAATATAAAATCACTGCAGACAAGTTTTGTAGAGCTGGTGATGTAAAAAAGAGCGGAGAGAAAAGTAGTACCAGAGACAGAACATTATTAAGAGCAAGCTGGTGATGAGGAAATTATTTCATTGAAATAAGTGAAAATTCATATTCATGAGGAAAAGAAATGCAATATTTATGCATCAAGGTATTTATCAACAGTAAAATAAGGGTTATATTGGGCAGTGAGCACACACTGCAGAACTGTCAGGAAAGACTAGAAAAAGATGACAAAATATTATTTTTCAGTGAGAGAATTGAGTTGAATTAGTTTTCAAAGATAAACAATTATGTCATTCAAATGTTGGAATACTTTTATGGGAGAAAACACACTGTCCTATATCTTGAATGGGGCTCTAATCTGGTGGGGAATAAAACCAAAAAATTTAACAAGATGTCTGGAAACAAAAAGGAAATCTAAATTAGAAACTAGAAACAAAATTCTAGCAGTGAGGGAGACTAAACTGAGCAAAACACCAGAGAAAGTGTTGGATTTTCAGCCTCTTGATGTTGTGGCATAATGATCTGATGCCCTTTTGTGTCAAGGCTGAGATTCTGGATGTAAAGTAACCACCTGTAATGCATTTGGCTTGGGTTTGGTGATCTCTTTGTGCCCTTTTTCATTTCTAAGCTCTGTGAATATATGTGAATATTGTCTTTACACTTTCATAGCTGTTCCTTTTTTTCTTTCAGTTTCTACCCAAACTGAGAAGGAATATAAAATCTTTTGTCTAGCCTAACTAGAATCAGTCCATGTTTTATTAATTCATCTCAATTTC